ATAGTGTGAGAAATTATTGCAAACTGCTTGAATTTTTTACTTCATGTTTAGTAAGAATGTAAACCTTAGATGCTTCAGTGTAGATTTACAATATTTGTTAACCAATAGTGAGGTAATATTAGCCCTATGCAGCTTATTCATAGCTGATAATATATATATATTCTTGATTTATTTCTTTTCTTTTGTTTTGACCATCTTAATGCTGTCCTTGTTTAAGATAAATTCAGTTGTTAGGAAGAAAAATATCTGTACCATGTTTACTTTGATATTTTTATAAAATGTGTTTCATTGTAGGAGGGACAGCTCAAAAGATGCAGTTACCAGGAAGTCAATTACTAGTCTTACCTGGTCTCACATATTTACTCCTTTCTTAAATTTTCAGAAATGTTTTATAATTGTTATTTAACTAATATTTTTGTCATCATTATATATAGTAAAGAGGATAGCAATAATGATGATAATAGTAAAGATAATAATTATATGTATATATATGTAACCAAGGTGAGATCAGGTCAACAAAATAGGTAAGCTAATATCTCTGAGGATAGAGCATGCATATTTGCCCTCCTTGCATCAACAGGTTAACCGAAGTAGCTTGCTTTATCTTGATGAGAATTGAGCAATCCATGTGTAAATAGCGGTCTCATAGTGCCACTCAAGTTCAGTCAGGAATAGAATATTAACCCTTAGTTCAGTGTTCTTCTGATTTGTTTTGGGAAATGTGTCTAAAAGGCCTATAAATAAATCATACATTTTGATAGCCATGAAAGCATAACAACTTTCCGTTGTATGATACCTGAACTCAAACATTTTATAATGCCCTTTGTATAAACACATACAAACCTGCATACATTTGTATACATATATACATCGATACATATACATGATTTCATTTATTACCACCCACCCCATTAAGACTTAATTGAATTTCAGATATTAGAAAATATAAAATATTAATTTTCTATTTTTACTTATTTTCAGTAAAAGCTTGAACACAAGAGTGTTCTTGGAGAGCCTCCCAAAAGACATTCGCAAAGATCAGGTGGATAAAACATTTTCCCGATATGGCAAGATAGCAAAGGTGTACCTGATCTACGATCCTCCAGGCTCAGGCTTCGTAGAATACTTCGATGCTCGTGACGCAGAATATGCAGCAAACCAAATGGATGGAGCAGACTTTATGGGGTCTCGGGTATCTGCCCGTGTCACAAGAGGAGGAGTGCCTCGTGGCCGCAGCCGTGGCTTTGCTCGAGGGGGTTATGACAGAGGGAGCCGGGGGGGAGGATACCACTCGAGCAGCTACGGCAGCAGTCAGGGCTATGTTCCTAGGGGTGGTGGGGGCTACAGGGGAGGGTTTTCACGGGGGGGATTCAGGGGCTCTGAAAGGGGAGGTGGCTATGGAGGACGGGGTGGGTATTCACGAGGGGGAAGCTACTCCAGAGGTGGCGGTGGCTATTCACGTGGTGGTGGATATTCGCGTGGAAGTGGCTACTCGCGAGGTGGTGGCTACTCCAGAGGATTCTCCCGTGGCGGTTACGGCGGCTCCAGCAACTACGACAGCTACTCTGACAAGTATGAAAAATCATATGACAAGCCAGCTGAGAACGGCTACTCTCGCTACCCCTCTGGTGACAAGTACAAGTCGCACTATTCAGATGACAAGTATGACAAGTATGTGAACTACAGCGGGTCCCGCAGGGAGGAGTACCAGCGCAGCCGTTCACCAGTCAGCCATTCACCTGATCGATATCGTTCTGCCTCTCCGGGCTACCAGCGCACCAGGTACCCTGCTCTCGCCACTCCAGCAGCTGTCACTTGATAATGTTGGCCACTAAAGCAAGTCACATTTTATTGAAATGAGCCACAGGCTGTTGCCATCTGCACTCGCTGCTGCAGGATCTGTCACTTAAGCATTCTTGGCCAGTAGCTGATAAAGCCAGTAATGATTAATTGAAGACAAACTGTTAAACCAGATCTGAGGTGATGGTTGGGTGTGGGTAGCTCATAAAGTAGGATTATTCATATAATTCTTACTGCTAAAGTTAGAAAGCAGAGCAATTTCATTGCAACAGAAACTGATTATTAGTCAGTTCCTGGATCTGTTTCCAAATAAGTAATGTAGTAATAGAAAACTTCCTGCAAATTGTACTTGATGAAAATTTCTTTTTCAGATTCATCACCTGTATTCTCAGTTCTATGTTTCACGCTCCTCAGTTACAGGGAAAGAGATCATAGAGAAACCAGAAAGAAAGCAGGTTTACGTTGAAATTACCTTTCAGAAAAAAGATGCAGATGTGGAATGGATGTCAAAGTTCGGAGTGACGAGAAAGGTGTCCAGTTCTGCAATACGATATGAATGAAATAATTGTTTTGGAAGTTTTCTTATTTGATGTTGTGTTTCTTGTGCCTTATTTAGTTTGCATGCTTTTAAGTGCAACCCAACAAGTTGACAAGGAAAGGAAGTAAGGAATATGGAAATCAGTAACTGGTGCCTAGAAGAGTTTGTCTTTGAAGTGTTGATTGAAAATGAAGAATTTTTATACTAGAAAATTTCCTTTATGAATGTAGGAATCATATGCTTCAATTCAATTCCAATTTAACAGATGAGCATAAAGGAGTATACATTTCTAAGGTGGCAGTCTTAAAATTGGTGTTCTAAAATAGTAAACCAAATAAAATTTGAGAGGCAGACGATATGAGAAATTGGTGTTGGCTTTTTTGGCAGTTTATGATAAGATTATTGGAAATTAGCATATTTTAAGCTATTCCACTGTTTAGATATTAGGAAATTGTAAGTATAGTTTTATATTTATAGTGTCTGTCATTATTATTTTAGATTATACACAGATATTTTTAAAAGAAACCGGTTCTATTCATTTCCTATCGTGAATAGCGTATGAATCAGTTACGAGAATCATGCAGTTTGCAATGACACTGAATCGTCATGCGCCAGTTTTGATAAAGAAAAGAAAATTCATCCGAAGAAACTTAGCGGAAAAGATTATTACCTATGTGGAAAGTAATGTCTGCAGCATGGAAAATTACTGCTTAGAACTCTTGGAAATCCGACAAATAGAGGCAAGAAAAGACAGCTAATAAAGGAATGTAAATACAACAGATAACACGAAAAGCTGAAATTAGTATATCGGAATCGTTAAGTAAACATGAGGAATCAAATCGTAAAGTAAAGCTAGATGGAATACGCACAAAAAAATAGCACTAAAGAAAGGAAATTAATAGGTACCTTAAGATTGTGGAACCACAGCACCCAGTGACGGAAAAGAAAGATATGTCAATTTGAAAACTTTCCTGAAAAGTAGTAATTTTACATGGTAAATCACTCAAACTGAAAATGCATTGATTTTAGTGCTAGATATAGTTGAACCTACTTGGCAGGAACAAGGAAGAATGAAAGAAGATAAGATCCTTGATGACAAGGTGAGAACCGAAAAATTGCAAAGTCGTGCCCTAAGATAAAGAAAGCGATAAGATTGATGTGGAAATTAAATTGATTTTTGCAAGTATGTTGGTTTGTAAGGTCTATTACCAAAGAAGGAAATAATTAAGATTGTAGTACCAAGTTGCGTGTATTTTACCTTGAAAATGCTAAGGCAAAAGTATCGTGAAATTAGAAATGCAACCGTACAATAGCAAAATATCCTTGAAAGAAGCAATTGAATACCCTTGATAAATGATATGCACTGGTGGTGTGGAAGGACTAGTAACAATTGTGCATCTTGAAACCTGCTGTACCTAGTCCTTAAACAGGTGTCAGTTGACAGAGTCTTATGAGGTGTAGAACTAGAAAGACAAGTACTGCCTTGGTTTATACAAGTTAGCCAACCAGCTGGTGAAACCGCTTCTGCAGACAAGTGGGCGGGTGAGTCAATAATTGCACGATGATTGACGTGCCATCTTCAGCTATGCATCCATCTTTAAAGTCATCTCAATAGAAGTCCTTGCCTACTTGTGTTAGCTTCTTGGGTTGCCTGATAAAACGTTTTATTTCTTGTTTATTTTGTTTGTGATACGACAATAGTAAAGTGGAGAGCTGAGAAGTGTCCGCTGAAATAACAAGCGGAGTACCAATATTGCGGTTACATAACTAGCGTGGTTACAGGTCGCGGTCGCCAATTGGTGGTGGGTATGGCAGCTCCTCACGCCACTACCCTTCCTCCTCCCCCCCTCCCCCATCCAGGGAGGTCATCCGCACCTCGCGCTCTCGTGACTCACACGACTATAGTCCAGACCGGGCTTACTCTCGCAAGGAATATTCCAGGTAGAATGACGTTACTAAGTTCTGATATCTACTTGAATTGATAACCAAATATGGCAAGTATATTGTGACTGAAAAACTGACTTGAAAAGCGTGTATAAAAGTGGATATAACATAAAAGGAAGGCTGTGTAGGTATGGAATAGCATTTGTAATAATAAGTCTCAGAAATGTACGACCGTTGCTTATGCAAAAAAGGGAAACTTGCTTAGAAAAAAAAGGGAAAGTGAATGTTAATTGAAAGTGTGTGGTAATGGTTGATTAATTAATTCTCATGGTTTGAAAATTTTCACTTTCAGGAAAAATGTTCTGGTAGAATGTTGTTGACATAGCTTTATCTCTTCTCTGTCTAGTTCATCTTATGGAGGACGCCGCAGCCCTGTCGATTCCCACTACTAGAAAAGTCAGGGTGGGATCTCATGCGACAACAATGCTATGAGATGAAGAAAAAAGAAGAGGACCTTATAACATAGCAGAAAAAAAAAATAATTTAACCAACTGGGTCTTGGAGGTTCTTATTTGTTGTAAAAGTTTGGAAAAGCTGTGTAGTGAGTAGCACTTGGGAATAGATGTTTACTAAGTCTGTTTTTTACTGAACATGAACGTAATATTTTGTTTGAAAAATGTGGTAATGAGGAAAAGTTTTACAGCCATTTGTTCATGATTTGAAAAATAATGATAAAAAGAAAAGTGTAAAAGAGAGTAACAGAAACGTCCCCCCGCCC